CTGCGGACTGAAAGGTCCCCGGTTCGGTTCCGGTCCAAGGGCATGTACCTGGGTTGCAGGCACATCCCCAGTGAGAGATGTGCAGGAGGCAGCTGATCGATGTTTCTCTCCCATCGATGTTTCTAACTATCTATCTCTCTCCCTTTCCTCTCTGTAAAAAATCAATAAAATATATTAAAAAAAAAAAAAGAGTGTAGCCTTAAAAAAAAAAACTATGTACTTGCTATAGACCAGCGGTTCTCAACCTGTGGGTCTCGACCCCTTTGGCGGTCGAACGACCCTTTCACAGGGGTTGCCTAAGACCATCCTGTATATCAGATATTTACATTACGATTCATAACAGTAGCAACATTACAGTTATGAAGTAGCAACGAAACTAATTTTATGGTTGGGCCACAACATGAGGAACTGTATTTAAAGGGCCAGAAGGTTGAGAACCACTGCTATAGACTGAATGTTTGTATCCTCCCCAAAATTCATATATTGGGACCTAATCCCCAATGTGCTGGTATTTGGATGTGGGGTCTTTGAGAGGTAATTGGGGCTCTTCTCTCATAAATAGGATTAGTGTTCTCAGAAAAGGAATCCCCAAGAGACCCCTAGTCCCTTCCACCATGTGAGGACACAGGGGAAGACAGCTGTCTGTGAACCAGGAAGTGGGCACTCAGAAGGCACTGAATCCCCCACTACGTAGAAGGAAGGAAATATAAAGATCAGAGGGGAAACAAATTAAATAAAGACAAAAGAAACAATTAAAAAGATCAATGAAACTAAAAGCTGATTTTCTGCAACAATAAACAAAATTGACAAATCTCTAGCAATACTCATCAAGAAAAAGAGAGCCCAAATAAATAAAATCAGAAATGAGAGAGATTACAGTTGACTTCACAGAAATACAAAAGATCATTAACATATACCAGAAACAATTATATGCCAACAAATTGGACAATATAGAAGAAATGCATAAATTTCTAGAGAGATGCAATCGTTCAAGGCTAAGCCAAGAAGAAAACAATAATCTGAACAGACCTATTACTAGCAATGAAACTGAAGCAGTAATTAAAAAACACATAAAACTCCTGCCTGGCTGGTGTGGGTCAGTGGTTGACTGGTTGATCTATGAACCAGGAGTGCACAGTTCGATTCCCTGTCAGGGCACATACCCAGGTTCAGACTCAATCCCCAGTGTGGGGCATGCAGGAGGCAGCCAGTCAATGATTCTCTCTCATCATTGATGTTTCTCTCTCCCCCTCTCCCTTCCTCTTTGAAATCAATTAAAAAAAAATCCCAACAAATAAAAGTCCAGGACCAGACTCCTTCACAGGTGGATTCTACCATTCAAAGAAGAATAAATACCTATCCTTCTCAAACTGTTCCCAAAAATTAAAGAGAAAGGAACTCTTCCACACTCATTCTATGAGACTGACATTACCCTGATACCAAAACCAGACAAAGACACTACAAAAAGAATTACAAGCCAATTTCCCTGATAAACATAGATGTAAAAATTCTCAACAAAATACTAGTAAACCAAATTCAACAATATTAAAAAGATCATACTCCATGATCAAGTGGGATTTATATCATGGATACTAGAATGGTTTGATATCCACAAAACTATTACTGTGGCACATAACATCAACAAAACCAACAATAAAAATCTATGATCATCTCAATAGATGCAGAAAAGAATTTGACAAAATACAATATTGATTTATGATAAAATCTCTCAACAAAGTAGGTACAGAAGAAACTTA